TGTTCGCTGGTATAGTGAGTATTTTCTCAACCTTTTTTTACTTGTCTGAAAAAAGGATATACAAACCGAGTCATTGCTTATTTAAATAGATTTCATAACCTTTGACATTATCGCCGACCTCGCTTTTGGCGAATCCCTCTACTGCCTGCGCGACTCGGAGAACCACGAATGGGTCAGCCTCGTTTACAGCGCGACGAGCGTGGCCACCATAATGTCAACCCGCCGCAAGTACGGCTTTATAGCATTCTATGACTGGGCTCGCAACCTGTTCCAGGACACGATGCAGAATGAAAAGCGCCGCCGCGAATTCAGTCTCAAAGCCTCAGCCAAAGTATCGGAGCGCCTCGCACAGCTCGAAAACGGTGACGACGACAAACCGGATTTCTTCGGCCAGCTCATGCGCAACCGCGTCAGCGAAGAGAAGCGGCTGTCGCGCGCTGAAATGGATGCGAATGCTGTTACGTTTCTAACTGCCGGCAGCGAGACAACTGCTACAACACTATCTGGATTTACTTATTTCGTCCTCCGCCGCCCAGAGATTTATGCCAAGATGGTGCAAGAAATCCGCTCCGCATTTACCTCTCTCGCAGACATTAATGTGGAAAAAGCAACGCAGCTTCCGTACCTCACGGCTTGCATCCAGGAAACGCTGCGCATGTATCCCCCCGTCCCCACTGGTTTCCCACGCGTTGTTCCACAAGGCGGAGCCAATATCTCGGGACACTACATTTCAGGAGGTACTTCTGTCTATGTTAGTCAATATGCCATGCACCATTCCTCGCGCCATTTCAAAAACCCAGATGAGTTTGTACCGGAACGATGGCTCGAGGGCGCGAATGGAGAGTATAGCGGGGATAAAAAGGATGGATTCAATCCGTTTAGTTTTGGACCGAGGAACTGCATTGGCAAGAAGTATGTCTCGTCCCTATTTTCTTCCTATTTGGAGAGTATTGGAAAAAGATGAAGCTAACCTTGTGAACAGTCTCGCTTGGGCCGAACTTCGTCTTATTATTTCTTCCATATTTTTCGCGTTTGATTTTGAGCTTGTGGATAAAGAGATCGATTGGATGGCGATGCAGGAGGTGTTTACGCTTTGGAAGAAGCCGGGGTTGACTGTTAGGCTGAAAGCTGTGTCGGAGTAGGGGATAGAGTAATTGATGAAATTGAACAAGTGAGTGGGACAATGTTCATAGATATTTACTTTCCCTAGATAGCGACTTCTTATCACATGTGTCATATACCTTCTTTCATCTCCATTGTCCATCCCCTGTTATCTCCCACCGGAAGTATTGCGCTGATCCACATAGTACCTCAACGTTTTTCCATATCAAATTTCAGAGGTGGTATTACTTGCTAATCCCTCATACCTCTGCGTGTAACCTTCTATATTTCTCTAACCTGGTCGTATTACACGAAGAACCTTTTTTCTCTCCAAAAGAATTCAACCAAAGGACCCATGCTTATGCACATTTGTATGTAATCTCATCTAAGCACTAACCCAAATTTCTCGTGCAAATCAAACCAAAAAATTGGAAAGGCAGAAAGAAAGCATTGATATTTCCATTATACGATTGTGGCACAATATACACTAGTACAATTATGGAAGTGACATGACAATTCATTACTAAAAAAGGAGAGAAAGAGAGAGAGAAAAACAGAGACTAGGGGAAACACAGATAAGCATTTGGCCCATCCCTGTAACACGGTCTAGCGGTGATCGCCCTCAAACTCTATTTTATACTCATGATCAATGCATATACAGTTTGGCTACTTGGCATCTCACAATCTGCAATTAAAGTTTACAGCTTTTTCTTAGTCATACCGCGCATCGCCATAACCAGAGTTTGGACTTCAGTTTGGGCTGGACCAAAAAACAACATTTTTGGCCTCAAACGTCTGGACTTTCCATCCCCTTTTTTCCTGAGTTCTCCAAAAAAAAACTGGCTCTAAACATTCCGCTCCAGATTACACTTCACTCACAGTCTCATGGTCAATTTCTTCAATTCCTCGAATGTCTCTCTCTCTAGGCAGACACATTGACAATACAATGCAGTTTCTTAGCCTACGTAATCCAATGTAAGCTCCCAAGACCCCTAAACGGCGAACAAAAGGGCAAGTCCGAAACCTCGGACAAAAGAATCACGAGACAAGACATGTGCCAACACCGATCCAATAAAAAAAAGAATCCAAGCCATTACTTTGTTCTTCGCCTCTCAGTCCCTCGAAATACTTACACAGCCCCCCCTTCTTGTCTCTCACACTCAGCATTACGCAAAAAAACCGGAGGCGCGCGCAGGGGAGGAGACGTATGTGTGCATGTAATCAGAGCGAAAAGCACAGTAAGATAAGCAGGCGAAATCTCTATTCGCTTGCAAAAAAAAAAGACTCCAGAACAAAAAAGGACACATCATACCACCCAGAATCCCATTGCATCCAACGCAGACAGTTGCCTTGGCAAATCTTACTCTTAGTTTCTTTTGTAGATACTTACAACATGCCCTGCCCCGCTCCAATATACCCCAAGGAAAGAGAGTAACGCTAGGAAAAAACAAACAAACTAGAACCCTTCCATCATCTATTTAAATTAAAAAAAAAGCTCAATCAATCGATCGTTCTAATCCTATATATATACAAAACCTAACTAACTACTTAAGTAAATGTGTGTAAGTTTAAACCCCCCCCCCCCCCGGATGAATCCAAAACGGGGCATTAAACCAAGCACGCATGCAAAAAAAGCCAAGTCCCTCTCTACTCGCATGGGCAGGCCTAAAAATCGCGTTGGGTCTTGGCCTTCCCCCCCTCCCTTTTTCTACTCTAAAAGATNTATTTAAATTAAAAAAAAAGCTCAATCAATCGATCGTTCTAATCCTATATATATACAAAACCTAACTAACTACTTAAGTAAATGTGTGTAAGTTTAAACCCCCCCCCCCCCGGATGAATTCATATACGGCAAGGCAACCAAGCACGCACAAAAAAAAAGCCAAGTCCCTCTCTACTCGCATGGGCAGGCCTAAAAATCGCGTTGGGTCTTGGCCTTCCCCCCCTCCCTTTTTCTACTCTAAAAGATCACCTCCGGATTTTTCTTGTTTACGAGGGTGTGGTCTGTGGTGTGAATGGGAGGGGGCGTTCGTACGGGAAATTCCGCCAAGTCTTAGGTAAGAAAGTAGAGTAGGAAGAAAAAGGTGGAAGAGATGAGGAGTAGAGTTATGCGGCGGGAAACGGGGAAAAAAAAAGACGATACGAGACAAGATGAGACGGGAAAAAATGGTTGGATAAAAGGCAGCCACAGGTGTTGGCGGGCGGGCTATCGCCCAGGCTGAGCTGAGCTGGTATATATTTCGTATGATTTCTGAGTGGCTTTTTTTTGCTTTTGCTTTTGCGCCGACGAAGCCGAGTTTAGCATGATATAGGTAAGTACACTTGGCTATTGCGATTTGATTTGATTGATTATTTTGCGTTGCGAAGTAAAAACACTATCACATGTTACATATTTACATCGCCGTCTTACAAACTAAATGAATCCTATGGCTTTTTTGTGCTCTGGGCGTTTTTGCTGTTTTGCCACCGGCTTGTATAGTTTTGGGGCCAGAACATGGGAGCGAGAGAGCTGAGGAGGGGAAAAATAGCCTAGGGAAACAAAGCGGGCCAGAGAATTATGCTTAATGTTTGCGAACCAACCTTATCTGCTTACGCTGGCTAGTTTACTAGTGCCTGTTCTAACAGCAGCACCCCCCGGTAGATGTTAAGCGAATCGGAAAACGGGCTGATTTTTAGTCGCTGTAAGGATGGGGCCAAACTGGTAAAAAAGACAAAGTTGCGGTGTAAGCTGGGAGGGATATGATTGTAGCGGATGCTAACGGATAGATAGGCAGTTGGATTCTGGCGGTGGCTTGTTACGTATGTGTGTATGTAGGCAATCGGGGAGTTGAGGACGAAAGGGCGGGTGCACGAAAAGAGGAGAGGGGGGTGGAGAAAGCCAACGCTGGGCGGGCTTGAGTGGGAAGCCGGATGACGCGGCATGTTGGCAAATCGGATGAGGAGAAGAAAAGGTGGATTGAGGGCAGCGGAACGAGTAGGAGGAAGCATTGGTGGTGGCATCTTGGCTGGTGGTGCCAAAGTCGACGGGAGTGTTTGTGTGTCTTGGCTGGCTTGAGTGTGACCCAGCGCCAATAAAGGCCAATTCGGGCCTTTGTCTGTCTAGGGCAGCTGAGACGCTAGGTGCCGTGGCGTTGTGGAAGCGAGGGATACTAGGAGGGCAGGTGAGCTGAAGAGGAGGAGGAGGAGGAGGGGGGGGGAAAGAGAGGGAGAACGGGATTGCGCAAGTGGGATGAATCGAGGGTGTGTAAAAAAGGATATAGTTAGTTAGAGGAGAGTAGAGTAGTATAGTATAGTATAGAGTAGTGTTGAAGCGACGATCAGGCGCGGGCGAAATGCAGGAGATTGTGGCCGAGCACAGGCATGTCATGTGGAGGGAGAAGGGACGGGCTGGGTTACCGTGTGGACGGGTTTGGGATGGGCGTGGCACGGTGGTAAGCTTAAACGGCATGCACTAAGCTTGATGTCATCCGGCGGGCGAGTGTGTTGTGTTTGTATGGGTGGGGTGGTGCGGGCTGAGTGAGACGGGGAGGGATGATTACGTTTGGAGTGGAGATGGGTAATGTCGAGCGGTGCTTGGGAAAAGAAAAGCTCCACGTAGGCCACAACGGAGAGCGGCAGGTTGATTGCCAGCCCCAAGGGCGCCGAGCAGAGCTGGCGGGTTTTGGGGCGTCTTGTGGGCAGATGGCCAAGCACGCCATGGAGGGCTCAGGCGTGGTGTGGCCAGACACAGGCGGTTGGGACGCCTTGGCTGTGCTTGGTAGATTGGGGCGCTGCCCGCTTCGACCAGCCAAGTAGGACAAGACGGATTGCCGGACGGTCACGACTGGGCCCGCCAAGCGGCTGAAGGCTTGTCGAAAATAAAGATTCGTTTAGAGTTAAAGCTTGGCCGGCCGATGCCCATGGCGCGGCGAGAGAGAGCCGTGGCAGCCGTGGCAGGCTGGGCGCTTCATTTCCAAGAGTGCGCAACTGTGTGCAGCTGTGTGTGCGGCCATCCACGCCTCTACACTTTGCTACCGCAATCCATGAACAGAACATCGTCACGCACACGACTACATACTGCATCCCCCTACCCACACATCCCCCTACCCACACAACCCCCCCCAGCTCACCCATCCATCCAGTCAGCACAGTCAGCGGCCTCCGAGCAAAGCTTGTCTCGGCTGCTTGTGGGCCTTATTTCGCTATCAGCCGCCACTCCACGCGCGGCGGGCGATCCAGAGACGCCATCCCAACGCCGAGAAAGGGCCAAAAGTGATTTCTGGGGCCCAAGCCTGCCCTGCCCTGTCCTGCCCTGCCCTGCCCGTGAGCAAAGAGTACATGAGCCCAGATGACTGCTCATGGCTTTTGGAAAAGTTTTGCCTTTTTTCCTGTTCTCCTCATCTCCTCCTCGTGCTGTCTATCCACCCACGCCCACTTGTACTGACTCTCCCCCCCCGGCTTCGTTTCACCTCGCTAGCCTTCTATCCAACACCCGGCCAGCCTTGATCTGACCGCACAGCCACACAACCACACACATACACACACACACACACACACACACACATACGTCTTGTCACAGTCACTCTTGCAGTCGCACGTCCTCCCGTAAGTCTCTGCCTCTTGTTTCGTCTCGCCAACTAGCTAGCCTCACCCGTCTGTACGCTACCTCCACTCTGGGGTCAGGCATTGTGTACTAGCTTTTATGCCTACTCTCGCCAGGTCCCGACATTGCCGGGTACCCTGCACCCACTCTCTCCACTGCCTCTTGTACTTAATCCCAAGTACACTCGCTCTACCTGCCCACCACCCACAAACTGACATTGACCCCAAAGACACCCATGAGGCACTGACCTCACATTCCCACGGTACCATTCTGCTACCATACGCCACACACGACACAGACACAGACACACCACCATCACCACCCCTGCTACCCCCGTCACCACCACTGCCATGGAGACCTATCACGGCCATGTCCGCACCCCTAACGATGCCATCATTCTCTTCGAGGCCTGCCGCATTGGGATATTACCGCGCGTCCAGCGTCGCTTGTCCGAAAAGGAGCGCCAGCAGATCAAGTCCGGCTCAGTATTCGTCTGGGACGAGCGCGAGGCCGGCATGAGACGATGGACCGACGGAAAATCATGGAGCGCCAGCCGCGTCTCTGGCAGCTTCCTCACATACCGAGAAATGGAGGGCAAGCGAGGAGGCAGCGCTGTGCCTACTCCGCCTGTAGTAAAGCGCGCAAGCGGAAAGTCGCCAGACGGCTCAGCAAACGGAGACTCCGAGGGTGAGGGACCAGACGGCTACCGATACAAGCCCGACGGTCTGATGAAGCAGTCCTTCAGCATCACCACACAGAGCGGACAGCACCTCCACCTCATCAGCTACTACTCGCGATCAAACTCCAACAACCTTCCCCAGCCCACAAACGACGCCCAGCTGCGACACATCCGACCGCCCAAGAACATGTACCCAGAGTCTGCAGTCAACGAGACTCAATCGGTGCCTGCCGTCACTCGCGGCCCCATGCCGGGTTCCCCATACAATGCTCCAGGCCACAGTATGGCCCCCTCTTCACCCTACACACGCGGCGGCCCTGTCGCGCCCATGTATGCCGTCCCCATCTACCCTCCTACGCCTCCGAATGGCTCTTCTCCATTACACGCGTACTACCCACAGCACCCTTACTTCTACCCCGGCGTAGTCTATGCACAGCCCCAATATCACCCCCAGGCCCATGTCTTTGACCGCGCGCCGCCGCCAATCGCTCATCCTCACGCTCCCCAAGGTCATCATCCCATGCTTATGCAGCACCCCGCCTATGCGGCGCACGCTGCTCACGCTGCCCAGCAGTACATGACGACACCACCATTGCGCACTCCATCAGCCGCCGAGCACGCTCAACGTCAGCAACATCTGCAGCGAGTCGGCGCGCCTGCTCCTCCAGCACCTGCACAATCCATTCCCGAGCAGGGCCCACAGTTGCCAGCAATCAACGGTGCTGTCGCCTCGGCAGGTGCCAATAGGCCACCAACCCCAGAAACTTCTGACAAGTCGGATTCTCGCCCATCAGAGCCTAGCGGCGCCCCTGCTACCACATCAGCACCCCCACCCTCGAGGCCGCTGCCAACGCTCGACTCGCTGCTCAATGGCGACGTCCAGACCAAGGACAACCAGAGCACCAGCCGTTCTGGCAGCCGCAGCCCAAATACTGCATCGAGGTTTCCCCGCGATCTGGCCCCGGAACGACTTGCCAAGAACAGCACAGCTGCCGATAGCAGCGCACTGAACAAGCTCAACAGCGTCTTTGTCCGATCGTAGTAGCGCCTTTTTGCTCTCTCGGACCAAGCATTGTGTCTTCGCTTCTCTGCTCATCTATTTTACACGCGTGACGATTTACTCGCGGCTTCTTTTTATTATTATTATTATTATTTATTCGCTTCTTTTACTTGTTCCCAAATCAAAGGGAAACAGTCGTTTCAAAGCATTTTACGAAACTGCATCAGGGCGGCGTTTGCAAGGTTGTTGCGGCTACCATTCGAAGTTGAGGATGGGGTCTAGATGGGTAGGGCAAACTGTGAATTTAGAGCATTGGCTTGTTTATCAGCCTGGCGTTTTTTTTTCCGAGGAGTCTGTTCATAGGCAAGCGTGGTTATTACTACGAGTTTTCGCACAGCCGTGTTCTTTTTTTTTGGAGGAAAAAAAAGAAGAGAGTTTCCTAGTTGCAATGCAATGGTTCATGCCAAGATGGGCCTCCCTATTCTAGTGTCTTGAAGTTGTGTTGTGTGCTTGCGTGTTGTGTGCGTGCGTGCGCTCGCGCTTATTTTAGAGTTTTAAACTTGTTTTCATGCTTAGTTTTGATGCGCGGAGGTAGGCGCTCTGGCTCGCACTCGTGATAAGCTCTTTGTCTTGCTACGCCACTAGCACACTGACATGACACGCATTGCCTATCCTCTGCCCACTATCAATCATGCTTTCCCCGCTTTTGTAACAGCTTTCCCCCAATCCAATTAATCCCATTTACCTCCATGCTTTCCCTTTGCCCCCCCAATAACCCACATCTCCACCATTGAAGCATGTCGTGCTGCACCAATCTGGAATTCCCGAAACGCCAGCTTCCTCATATGGTTAAAGGCGCCGTCTAATGGCTATCATGTAACCATGCATTCTACAGTTGTATCGACTTTTCCAATCGTTGCTTTCCACCCGGATTTTTCCGCGGACGAGCGATCAGCGACACACTTCCCTTTTTATTTTAAACTACCCCGCAAATGAACATGATAACGTCGGCTTTTTTGCGCCTTCGCCCAAGGATTTATCAGATGATTGGAAAAAAAGGAACAGAAGCCCGCTCCTTATCCCATCCTGCGCGGAGTAGGAGGGGGGGGGGCGCGACCAAGCTTTATCTTATCGTGGATAAGCATGAAAGTGGGCTTGATAGTAGACGGGTGAAAAAGATCAACGGGCGGTGCTCTCCAACGGGGGGCGCTCTTTGCTCCAATGGTGCCTCCCCCTCCCCCGAAAAGGAAAGTTTGGAGGCGGGAGAAAGACAACCATTGGATTTTGCGGGCACTCGGTTGGATTGGGTCGGGTTACATAAGTGAGATATAGTCGTTTTTCTTTTCTTTTCTTTTTTAAATTGACGTCCGTTGTTTCCCTGTGTCTACCGTACAAGCCATCTCACCCATTTCCCCTTGTCTGTCCTCGGGAGTATAGTTAGAAAAGAGAAGAAGAAGCGGCAAACGATTACATACCGTCCCAGCCTGCCCATGGCATCTACAGCCCCAACCCCGATACCCACGGCGGATGTAGAGAAAGATGCGATAGTGCAAGATACCGTTGTGCCAAAGGGCAAAGTAGCAGAGAAACTACTCAAGCACTCGCACGATGCGGATGCGGCGATGAAGGCGTTTGAGGGCATGGAAGGCCAGGTGATTGAGCTCAGCGAGGAGAAAAGTAAAGCGTTGTTAAGGAAGATTGATTGGCATTTGATGCCTGTAAGCTCCCTTCTATCCACCTTTCCACACACACACACACACACACACACACACACAACTTTAATAACACACTCCGCATAGATAATGTGCTTAGTCTATGGTCTTAATTACCTGGACAAAACAACTCTTTCCTATGCTAGTATCATGGGCCTTAAACTGCCTCCCTCGGATAATCCACTCAAGTCCGGCATCGGTCTCACGGGAGATGAGTATTCGTGGCTCGGGAGTATGTTTTACTTTGGGTATATAGCGTGGGAGTATCCGACGTCGAGATTGTTGCAGGTGCTGCCGTTGGGGAAGTATTGTGAGTTTTATTCCCCCACCAACACATCTCGAACATACATGTTTCCATTCTATGTTTTGAAACCGAAAAAAGAAGAGGGAATGCTCGAATCTAATGGCTATGTGAATGATTGCAGCGGCCTTCAACATCATAATCTGGGGTCTAATCCTTTCCTGCTTCGCGGGCGTATCGAATTATTCCGGCGCCCTCGCCATTCGTTTCTTCCTTGGCGTCTTCGAAGCAGCCGTAAGTTTCTCTATACCGAAATTTTCCACTCTTCAAAAAAAAAAAAAGAGAAAGCACTTAACTAAGTCATTTCACTCGTTCAAAGGTAACCCCCGGCTTCGCCCTCTTCACCTCCCAATGGTACACCACCGCCGAACAAGGCTCCCGCACCGCCATCTGGTTCAGCTTCAACGGGTTCGCGCAAATCTTCGGCGGCTGCCTCGCCTACGGCATCGCCGTCGGATGCCGCAAACTCGGCACCTCCATCGAACCCTGGAAGATTGTTTTCCTAGCAACGGGCCTGCTGACGGTGTGCTGCGGCGTGGCTTTTCTGTGGATAGTACCGGATAACCAGCTCAATTGTCGGTGGTTGAGCGAGGAAGATCGCGTGTTGGCGGTTGAGCGGATAAGAGTTAATAAGCAAGGGGTGGGGAATAGGCATTTTAAGTGGTATCAGTTGAAGGAGGCTCTGTTGGATCCGCTGAGTTGGGCTTTCTTTTTTTATGCGCTTATTGCGGATATTCCGAATGGTTTGTTTTCCCTTTCTCCCCCCCCCTCTTTCTTTCTTTCTTTCTTTCTTACCATACATGTTGTTTGTTTATTTGCTGATAAGAAAGAAAAAAACAGGTGGTATCTCAAATTTCTTCTCTCAACTCATTGTCGGTTTCGGTTACACACCTGAGGAATCCCTGTTATACGGTACCCCGGGCGGTGCCGTTGAGATCGTCTTCCTGATTGCCTGCGGTTGGGCAGGCGACAAGTACGGAAACCGTATTCTCATCTCTATGATTGGCCTGCTCACTGCTATCCTCGGTATGCTGCTCATAGTCGCGCTGCCGCTATCCAGCAACTCGGGGCGCCTGGCGGGATACTATCTCACGCAGGCGAGTCCCACGCCGTTTGTGGCGCTCTTGAGCTTGGTGGCGAGTAATGTGGCGGGGTATACAAAGAAGACGAGTGTAGCGGCTATGTTTTTGATTGGGTATTGTGTTGGGAATATTATAGGTATGTTTTCCTCTTTGTATTTGGTTTCCCTTGGCATCGTTCACGTGCAAGGGGGGGATTGCCTATCCGATGATATATCAACTAACATCAGTTTCAACTCTACAGGCCCCCAGACATTCCGCCCATCAGATGCACCCCGCTATGTCCCCGCTGAAGTCACAATCATTGTCTGCTGGGGCGTATGTCTCGGCATCCTCGCCTTCATCCACTTCTACTGCGTGCGCCAGAACAAGAAGAAAGCGCTGATTCGAGCGGCGCCCGATTATGTCAAGTTGGAGAATCAAGAGTGAGTTTTTTTCTACCTTCCCCCCGCCCCCCCTTGTTCTCTTTCCTTCCTTTGATTTTTTTTCTGCTTTCAGCTTGGCAAAAAAAAAAAGAAGTATAGTAAGGAAGCTAATATTCCTGTCTGACAGATGGCTCGATCTCACCGATCGAGAAAACCCAGAATTCATATATACACTTTAATCCCTGACATACATACACAAATCAACAAATCATTTCACTTCAACCACTCTTTCTCTCCAAGAAAAAAATACATCATTCATTCATCCATACAACCATACTAGCACGTCGCAAGCATACTCGTCAACGCACTCTTCTCCGCACTCGTAATCGTCAACCCATATACACTCTTAACCTTAATCCACATCTTACTATACGTGCAGTAGTAGCTCGTTAGCGGGGGCTTCCAGTCCTCTGGGCCCTTATCCCCTTTAGCCTGGTTGACATTATCCGTGACAGCAAGCAATTGAGGGTTGGTTAGGTCGTTGGCAAAGGCCTGGCGGCGGGCTGTGGTCCAGGATGCTGCACCGGACTGTTGTTTCGTTAGTTTCCGCTTTATCTTTTTTTTTGGGAGGAAGGAGGAAGAAAGGGGGGGAAAGGGAAAGGCAAAACAAACCTTCCAAGCATTACTCAACGGAACCAAATGATCGATGTCAACGTCACTCGCCGCCGTCCACGTCGCGCCGTCGTAGGGACTAAACCACGAGCCGGAAACGGACGCGCAAGCATCGTTTGTTACGACGTTTGTGCCGTCGCGCTTGAGGACCGTCTCGCGCGTGTTGCAGGTGCCGGATTGCGTGATCCAGTGGGGGAAGAGGTCGCGCGAGTAGCCGGTTTGCGGGCCTTGGGCGGCGACGGTGAGGCCCGCGAGTTGGGTTGTTGCTTCCGACTTGGAGGGCACGTTGGGGGGAGCGCGGGCGGAGAGGTTGGATGGGGCGGGGGCGGCGGAGACGAGGGCAGCGGAGACTGCGGCGATGAGGAGGGAGGTCTTCATCTTGTTCGTTGACGACGAAAGAAAGAGTGATGGCAGAGGAAGTGGTTAAAGAAAGAGTGATGCGTCAATTGAGATATAAAACCCGCAATCAGAGGTAGACACTCGACAGTGAAGTCGATGTCATGCACAATGGATACAACAGTACGTACAACCACCCCCCATCTTATATACAAGTTCTCCACCCAGTCTTTTCTTTTCTTACCATCCTATCTACCATCATCTTTTAGCCCCGGCCCTCTCCGCTTCCCCTTCCCGTCCCAGGAAACGAAACAAAACACGGTCCAATCCAATGAAGCACTGCACGCCTACCCACCCCCGCTCAACCTACTCTTACTTGCCCAGCCGAAAAAAGTGGTGTAACCGCGGAATAACCCCATGAGCGAAACCTACACAAACACGCGCCCACAAAGATCGTTGACCGAAACCCAATAAGGCAGGTCGGCAAGGGTCGTAAGCGGCTGAAGCATAGTCCTTCATTTAGAGACATCGGACGACTAGAGCAAAGCGTACCTGATCGGCAGTGCAACTTGCTTCTGGCGGCCCCAAGTCATGGAGCTGCCTTCCTGTTAGGGGGAAAAGACGAATGGTGCTGCATGGTAAGACGGAGGAGGATGCCAATGACTGGTGTAGGTATGCAAGAGGGATAAGGTCATGGAAAGGTTACGGAAAGCGCGGGCATGGGGAGCGCAGGTGGGCTTATCGCGACGTGTGATAGGGTCGTGGCCGGGGGCGTACGCTAACAGTATCGCCTTGTCATTGGGTGCTTGCTAGATGAGGATAATGTGTCCGTGTGGAAGGCGCCGGCGCGTGGTGCGGGTCGGAAACATGGACGCTCCCAAGGCGTTGCAAAGGAGCGAATGGATGATAAGACATGGCCAACGTGAAAGATGAGGGGCTTGAAGGAGGAAACATGGGCATGAATGCAGATGTGGTCGAGTGGGGGATTGTCTTACTGATTGGCTCGTGCCCCGCGCTCTACACAACACGTGAAGGCCAAGAGATGGCCCTGGCTTGAAGAAGAAGGATGTTAGCCTCAAGAGGAAGATGCCAAGCTGCGTATGCTGAAATGGTGCGCGACTGGCGCATCAAAACCATGTTTAGATAATTGTTGTTTGTCCTGCATCTAATCTTGAGGTTTTGTTTAAATTGGGACGCTGGTACGGAGGTCAAGACTGCAATAAATTTGTTGGCCAGAGTACGAGAGCTGCTTGGGTAACCGGAAATAAGGTGTTGATTACCCATGGCGACACCGGAGCTTGGTATGCCAACCCTTTAGTGCAGCATTGGACAGTTTGATGTCAGAACTGCCGTTTCGAGTATATTCGCAGCGACGTCGGTGTCTTGGGACTTGGCTGGGCTTGCGTGTCTTTGTGACAATGTTCCACTAGCAGCATGACATGTATGCATTACGAACCAATCTCTTGGAGAAGCTTGATCGGACGTACTCCGGGGTGTATAGATTGCGTAGTGTCAATGCTCCAACTGCCGGCTCGTCGCACCTCAATATGGCCTTGTTATTGACTGACGGAGAAAGAGGTTGCATAGTCAAGGTTACTTCCTGATCATAGGCATCATGCGGCAAAGTCAAACTCTTTGAACGCCTCTTTGAACTTTTCAACATCCTGCTCTTCCTGAGGCTGCGTCTGCCCGCAATTCTTCCAGTCGACACGTTGGTCGAGTCGCAATAACTTGGCCAACACCTCTCGTCCAAACTGGTTGTGGAAACGTATCTTTTCGTCAAAGCGCATAACGTAGCTCGTCTGCTTATCTGGATTGTCTTTTGGATCCCACACCAAGACCCTGAAGAAGTCGCTCGTCTCTTCGACTCCATCACCTACATCCTCTTTTTGAAATTTCGGCCAATGTAGGTTCTCGGCTAATGCCTTGAACGCAGCCTCGACAAGTCCTTTGCTGATGAGATCCGCGCTGACGGGGAGGTATTGCCAGTGTGTATGAGGCAAGCTAGATTTACTGACTTCCCACGTGACGGAACCATAATCGGTATCTGCTACAGACTTGAGCATGCTGTTCATTGCACGCCGATATCGTTGCATCTCTGCGTAGGTCGCGTGGCGTTCCTCCTCTGCCATTGACCCCAACGTCGGCTGATGCGTGAATGGAATGATGAGCATGTGGCAGGGGAAGCCGAGTTTCGAAAAGGTTTGTGGAGTTGGCAGAGGGCCTTTTGCAGTTGTTAAATACGAGTTCTCGCCAATCGAGGCTATCAAGTGCGTTGCAATGTTTTCGTTGGCCAAACAAAAGAAGCATTCAGATGCAGTAATGGGTCCTCGAGGCTCCCCCTTTCGTCTCTTGTTGCCCCTCCGGCCTCGGTTTCCATCGTCGTAGACTAGATGTTGTTCCTGATACTCAGGAGCAACTCGCTTCTTCTCAGAAAGAACGACAGGACAAGCAGTTGAGCCAGGCGGAGGTGCGACGGGATGGCTCGCAGAAGGCTCGAGAGAAAAGGCATAAATCCACTTTTGCTTATTGGGATTGCCAAAGGACGCCAGACTGATGAATCGCGTTACCGGATAGAGATTGTCGGTTTCAGCACTCGGTGAATGAAAGAATGGCTCCCGCTCGTAAAAGGTGCCGCCCGATGTTGAGAAGTGATACTTGGGCTTCAATATGGCGTCCAAATCAGCGATGCATTGCTGGCTGGTTGGCTGCACCTCAGGGTTGAATTCGACCCTGGAACGTTTTTGAATGTCCTCTGGCCACTCGTTGGTGATGAGGATATCAGCTGTCGTTGCTCCTCGCAAAATCTTGGCATCCGTCTCGCTGTAAAAAGGCGGGTACTTGTCCTTGGACTGGCCAGCAATGATGTTCGCATCCAGCCGGCCGCCTAGCGCGACAATGCGGATACCCTCAGACGTCTTCATAGTAGTCCGCTTGCCAAGAAAGAAGAGATTATGGCATAGTTCATCACTGGAAGATTCCAACTTTTGGACGACTGCTGGAGGGAGTGGATTGCTGCCAAGAGCAAAGTAGGTCGGCAACGGCACGTCGATTTGGCCATTAACGAGTGACTGCACATCTCCTGATGCGGCATCTTCATCATCGAGTGAAGCTGCAAATAAGTTGCCTACGATGAGGGCGAAAGCAAAGTTGTTCTTTGCGTGCAGTGCGCCCAGCTTCTGGAAGACGGTCTTGAATTGCCCGTTGACGTCACCGACAACGACGCTGCACGCGTTAGTGGGTTACAAGACAATAACAGCAGAACAGACTTACATTTTTGAAGCCATTATGGATGGTGATGTTGGCTATGACGAGTTGCCGACGCGTTGGTGTTGAGTGAGCATGGGTGATTGGCGCGTCGGCGGCGTCGGTGGTGCGGTGCCAGTGCCAGGGTCCAGCTTTTTTGTTAGCGTATGGAAATTCTAGTGGAGCATCGAGTGAAGATGCAGCCACTGCAGTCTTCGACCCAACCCTCTCCACTACACCCAAATACACCACACATCATGGCTGCCATGTCGCGGGGACTTGCTACACGCCCGGCTGCTAAGCCATCCTCCAAAATATCAAAGTCGGCGCGCCCACAAAAACGGGTCAAGGGCGGGACCGAATCTACGCGCAATCATGTCTTCAAAGGCTTTTCGCAGCGCATTGCACAACTCAGAATTGAGCCTGTTCGCCGCGGTCGCAGCACCATTCTCGATGATGCCGAGCTCGAATCGACCTTCTCCTACTTCCGCGACTCGTTCCTCGAATGGAGGGAACTCAACATGTCCGAGCCCTTCACAGCCTTTGCCCGCAAGGTTGCGCCACTCTGCGACAGCCTCCCCCAAGTCCTCCACCATAGCGATCGCATATTCGAACTCCTCGTCGAACACATTGAGAAGGGCGAAAAGTTTAGCCAGGAACCGTTGCTCAGCCTCATGGCTCATCTTGCACACGACCTTGGCGAGCGCTTTGAGAAATATTTTGAGAGGGCAGTGAAGACTGTGTCGCATCTGGCAGCCACGCATGCCGATGTAGAAGTTATAGAATGGGCATTTGGCTGTCTGGCCTGGTTGTTCAAGTACCTTTCAAGGCTATTGGTACCGAACCTGCGCCCCGTCTTTGATCTCATGTCCCCTTTGCTGGGCAAAGAGCGCCAAAAAGCCTTCGTCTCTCGCTTTGCGGCCGAGTCATTGAGCTTTCTGGTACGCAAGGCCGGTGCTGCCTATCACAGAGACAAGGTGCCGCTCAAGTCAATCATCAAGCACATATCCGATCTACTCAAGGACCAGCAGGAATCCACAAAGGACTACGCATTCCAGCAAGGTCTCATGTATCTTTTTACCGACTCGCTTAAGGGCGTACAGCGCGGCTTCCACTCAAGTGCTACCGTCATTTTACAAGAGCTTTTGGTCGAGACGCTCAACCTAGAACATCTTGACCTCCGAATTCCGCCTCTCGAACCTGTACTTATCGGTGTAGTTACTGCCGCTATCCACCACACGGATGCAGAGAACTTCAGCCCTTTGCTCGAAGTCATACTTGGCGAGGCAGACAAAGTGTCGTCAGACGTGCGCTATGTTGGCCTATTGTCTCGCTTGCTAATGGTCGTTTGCGGCGTCCGCCAAGGTGACCGTGTCGAAGATTGGAGACCCGTGCTGGGCTCAATCAGCAATCTGCTTGATTCTACCAAAGCTTCGACTGAAATCGACTCTGTTGATGCATGGGAGCTACTATCAGTCGTCGCCGTTGTTTTCCAGTATTGTGCGCTGGACGCAGCTATTCCCCACGAGAAGCTGCTGGAAGGCCTGACTCGTGGTCCTTGGGAAGCTTATTTTCTGCCATTCTGCAACTTGTTCGCCGGTCTAGGCGTGGAGAGGTTCAGAACTTTGCTTCTCCCATATTTCAAGAGGTGCGAGATTACGATTCTTTTAGACTGATTCATTTACTAACACTTTGTTAGATTTGTTACGCAAAAGACTCATGAGCATGGTCCTCAATTCTGTGCAATTCTGCCTCAACTTTACCAAAGCGGAGCACTAGCGAACACCACTTTGCAG